AGGGATTGGCGACTTTGCAATATCCCTCCGACAGAACGGACGATAGTACGAAGCCAGCGGGCACCGACAAAAACTCACGCTTTATGTACCTGCTTCACCGTCTTTGGCCACGGACCAGTCTTTATCTCTGGATGTTAGATGGCAATTCTGGTATTGATTCCAAGTGGCCTCACGTGGTGTCGCCGAGAAAGATGATGCTGGTCCTTGCAGAAGATGACACTTGCTGGCGGCTAAAAGGCTATCAATCGGCCTTATGTAGGCGTTAAAGGACCTCTTCAGGACCTCACAGATGCTCGTCATGAAAAAACAACATCGTTTTCGTTGAAAATTTGACCAGCATATCAAGATACGTCCGCATGGACCTTCCAGCGTCATGGCCAGCCGGTCATAGCCAACTCTATCAATCTCTGGAACAGCGGAGGTGCATTACAGTAGCCCATAGGGAAGTCCTCTTGAAAACAATACAAGTTTGTCCCAATCAAGAACGCGTTCCCCCTCTTGTCTCGATGGTCTTTTGTTGACAAGGACTTGCAGTAACACTGGGTCAAGTCAAGATTACATGAAGAATGAGCAAGCACCCGACAGGCATTGCTTTAGCTGAGAGTCATCAATCCTGGGCAAAGGGTGGGCCATCTCGCCGCGAATGCGGGCAACACGCGCACCTTCGACCAATAGATGGCGAACACTATGCCGCCGTCACATATATGTATATATATACACATATATATACATACATACATATATACACACACATACATACATATACCCTCCTGATATACCACATATATATAAAAATGACTTGTACAAACATTGTCTGAACTTATCAGCACTGGTCTCATAACTATACTCTAACGAGTAGACGGACTTCATCTATCGTATCCGTGCCACGAAAATTCACTCCTACTCTCCGTAAATAGCGCCACATTAAGCCCCCGTCCCGTCCGCAACTTAACACCAACTATGCACTGCGCGCGCGTAAAAGTTTCGCGCGAGAAAACGCGTTAGTTTACGTCACACGCTGCAGCACTCCGCCGCCGACGCTGCCGCGGATAGGATGCTGCCGTACCATGACCTCCTTCCACGTCCCCGCGTGGGTGACCCTCCCTGTCAGCTCTTTCTCTGTCGTGGCTGTACGTGCGGTGGTGGTCGTCGCTCACTGCGCGTCGCTGTCCGGGGATGATCTGGCCGTCGTCCACCGTCAGACGCGAGAGCATGCCGTTGTCGACGCCGTTGTACATAGCAACGGTGACCACCGCAGCGGCGGCGGCAGTTGTGACATTTCTCGCTGGGGTCGAGACTAAGGATCTAGCAACAGTGCCCGTGCACGCAGGTCGAGGCGACGGGCTCAGCTGTGGTAGCGTGGGTCGGATGTTAAATCGCTGTGAATTCTCCAGCTTCTCCTGTGCTTTTTGTGTTCATTAAGTAATACTTGTTCTCGTGGTGGCACTTCGAAATTAGTTCAGATCTTTTGTTGAGGAGCCTGGCTTTATCGGCTTTAGTGATGTAAAGTTTTTCTGCTAAACAGAGATTGTATATTTTGCAGATGTTGTTGTATGGGCTTGATGAAGTGATGATTGACCAGTTAATTGTATAATTTTTCTTGTCGTCTTTGAGTTTCCAGGTGTGGTTTGAGAGTTCAGTGCTGTTAGCATATTTTCTGTTTCGAAATGATAGCTTGTGTTGAATGTGTCGTTGTTTAAATGTTCCCTCTGTACGTCCGATGTAGTTATTTGCTGTGGTGTCTTCATCTGTAGTTACGCGTGCGTTGTAGACTAGGCTGGTTGAGAGGCAGTTATTGTCAAGTAGACATTGTTCTTCTTTTCGGCAGTTGCATACGTTCTGGGAAGGGGTGGGGTTGTCGCTGGTTATTTTCTTGTTGTGCTTGTTAATTATGGTTGCTATATTTTCCGTGCAGCTGTAACTGACTTTTACGTTGTTCTTGTTGAAGATAGAGTGGAATTTGTGTTCTTCGTGGAAATGCTTCTGGATGAGGTTGAGGTAGGTTTTGCCGATATTAGTTTGGATGTTTTGGCTGTATGGCGGGTTAAACCAGATTATGTTCCTTTTTCTGTTCTTTCTTGCAGGTGCAGATGTGTTGTGGCTGGCGTATGTAAGGTTTTCGGATACAACTATCCGCTTGTTTTTAGAGCTTTTTCGTAGGGGGGCTTAGCTTTGTCAAATGCTTCTTTGCTGCACGAGATGTCTGATATCCTACGGTTGATGGCTGCGGGTAGTTGTGTAATTATGGTAGGTGGGTGGTTGGATTTCGTGTTGATTTGAGTGGCTCGTCGTTTGGTTTTCTGTAGGGGCGGTATGATCCGTTTGTTAGATTAAGTGTGATGTACGGCGGCAGAGTGCTGCAGCGTGTGACGTAAACTAACGCGTTTTCTCGCGCGACACTTTTACGCTCGCGCGCAGTGCATAGTTGGTGTTAAGTTGCGGACGGGACGGGGGCTTAATGTGACGCTATTTACGGAGAGTAGGAGTGAATTTTCGTAGCACGGATACGATAGATGAAGTCCGTCTACTCGTTAGAGTATAGTTATGAGACCAGTGCTGACGAGTTCAGACAATGTTTGTACAAGTCATTTATATATATATGTGGTATATGTATGTATGTCTGTGTATATATGTATGCATGTATATATATATATATATGTACATGCCCGTAGCCAGGGGGGTTCGGCCCCGAGCCCCCACCCCCGAGCAAAAAAAGAAGCCCCCAGGGGTGGTTCGCGCCGGCCGTCAAACATGGCAGATGCTGTGCATTTGTCACTTCAGACTGCTCAGGAAGAGGAGGGGCGTAGAAAAGACCATATAGTCGAAAACATTTTCACTGAATAGGTGTTTTTTTCTTTTTTTTCATTTGAAAATTTACAAGAATTTCACCTCAGGTATGCACCAGATCGTTCCCTTTTAGTGTAATAATTGCAAAATCTTCATCGTGCACAAAATCTCCCACACCCTCCCCCCGCTCGGTCGCTATGCTCCCTCAGAAATTGCCAACATTGAAAAACAAACCCCCCCCCCAATATAAAGCTGGCTACGGGCCTCTATGTATATATATATATATTAATACATAACATATATGTTACCGGTACTTTAATGTGTCTTATCACTATTGTCAGTATAAATACCAGTACCTCGGGGTTCAGGCCCCTGTCTTGTGGTTGTCGAACGCTCACGCAAGTATTTCCAATAACAGCAACACTCCAAATGCAGTTAAAACTTATATATTCTTTCACAAACACACATTGATTTGCAAACACGACTTTCTCTCTTTCTCCCGCGTCACTTCCCCCTCACAACACCACGCCAGCGCCATCTATCGTCGAATAAAACAGATCAACGGAACAACTCTACATAACAATCTACACTAACCGCTACATACTCCCCGCAACAAAAATAATGTCTTCCACG